GGGGGGGGCGGCGTCTGCCCCTTGCCTCCCCAGCCTGCAGTCGCAGTCGCAGGGAGCTGTGTTTGGCGGTCTCCCTGACTCACTGGGTTAGAGTGACTCAGTTTCACAGATGCTGCTGCTAAATTAGGGCCTTGGTGAGCCTTTGGGAAGACAGCTCTGTGAGGGTCCTGCTGTGGGTGCGGGGGACAGAAACGGAGGCGGTGGCGGCGGCGGCTCCTGCCTACCACCTGCTAAGCAGAGCTTTCCCATGTTGGTCTGCGTGACATTATAAAATATCGATGTATTAATCTACTTTCACTAGGTTTTTTTCTCTCCACTTATTCCAGGAACATAGCCGAATTCTTGCACTTTCCTTGCCTTAGCTGCTTTTGCCCGGGGAAGGCAGAACTGTTTGAGGATAAGCTGCTTCTGGATCCTTGGTTGAAAGGTTGCATCAACTGAGATTAGGCCCAGGGTCTTGGAGGAAGAGAGGGGGAGGGGCCCCAGAAGACCGGAAGGGAGCTTCTGGAAGTCCGCGGGCCCGTGAGGCGTGAAGACCCTGCCCTGATCCTGGCAGGGCACCTGGAGATGTGAGGGCTGGGCACGGGGCACCGGGGCTCCCCGGAAGGTCCCCGTGCCTGGGCCGCGTTCAGTCGAGGCCGCTGGACTTGCAGCCCCCCCGAACTCACATCTGCAGAGCCCGCCCCCGTGTTTGCACTGTGTGAGGTCCCAGGACCTTTTCGGGATCCTGGCGGGAGGAGCAAACCATAGGGACAACAGACTGAACTCCCCACCAGCTGGCAGGATAGAGACTCGTGTCTGATCTCATTCGACTGAAAGAAAGCGTGACCTTCTTGCACCCCTGGTTCCCAGCCTGGCTCCCCTGCCTGATGGCGCGCTCACCGGCTGCGGCAGGAGGGCCAGTTCCGCCCAGGCCCCGCCTGTGACCTGCCAGTGACCTCCAGCAAATCCTTTTTCCGTTGAATAGAGAGAAGACCAGAGTGCCTCCGCGGGCTGACCTGCGGTTCTGGTGGGTCTGACTGAACCGTAGTCCGTTTACAGCGCGGAAGCCGAGGCCAGAGGGGCTGGGCAGTTTCTCCAGTTCGCAGAGCCAGGAAGTGGCAGAGCAGGGC